AAATCTTTTCATGAACTATATCAGTTAATCAATCCTATCAGTCATAGGAGATAAGAAGTGTTATGTATATTATGTACCTTATTTTCTTTTTTATCCTTTTTTTTTTTTTTTTTTTTTTGTTTTTTTTTTTTTTTTTTTTTTTTTGAGGCAGAGTCTCACTGTATAGCCTAGACTGGTCTCAAACTTGTGACAGTTGTCTTTCCAGAGCTGGGATGGCAGGTGTGAGCCACCAAACCTGGCTGAGCTGCTTTGTAAAGATGTGTTGTTTCCAATTTTGCACTTAAAGCATGATTGCGTTGCTAATTTTATATTGCACTCTTTCAAATAGATAAGATTTATTAGAGATTTGCATAAAATATGCCTTAAATTTTTGTATATTGTGTGTGTGTGTGTGCGTGTGTGTGTGCGTGTGCGTGCGTGCATGAGAGCACACACTTGCATTTCTGTATAGATAGCTCCTGATAGCAGAAAGCAGGGGCTGAGACAGAGATCAGTAAATCCAGGAGTGTACAGACCTTGGTGGATCCAGCCCCAGCCTGCTGGAAAAGGAGTTTTAGTATACACCATGTAGACTCATTTATGAATTGCCTATCCAATGGTTGCTTTGAGGCTTACAAGGACAGCATCAATTTATTAGACCAGAGACCCAGCATCTCACGAGGCTGAAAAGACTCTATGGCCAATGGAAAGTTGGCTAGCCACCTGTGAATGGCTGGTGAACTGGAGTGAATTAGGGAGGAAGTGATTCAGAAGAAGCAAAGGCCGACTATGTGGCAGCCTCGCTGGAACTCTGGTGCCTCATCCTTCAGTGTTGAAAATATACAGTATTGCAATCCAATACAGACCACCTCCGTGTGTTCGTCTGCATGGCCATGTGTCCCTGCATATTAGAAGACATGTTTTAGGAGCCGTGGAGATTGGTTCAGTGGTGAAAGCCCTTGCCACGAAAATGTGAAGACCCAAGTTCAGGTCCCCAGAATCCATGTAAATGCCAGAATGGGGGTGACAGCCCTCCTGTAATTCCAGACTCAGAAGGTGGAGACGGAATCTCCAGAGCAAGCTAGCTAGAGAGACTAGCCACATGGGAGAGCTCTGGGTTTGATTGTGAGAGTCTGCTTCAACGAACAAGGTGGAAGAGTGATAGAGGACGGTTCCTGACATCAACCTTGGACCTCCACACATGTGCATGAAAACGGAAAAAGCAAAAACTAAGTTGAGATGACAAGTTCCACGAATAGCAGCTACCAGCATTAAATGTAGGTCCTAACCTGCTGTCACTTAAAAGTGCCAGTGACAACACTCTCAACGGATCTTGTTCAGGTCAAAGAACCGTGTCGCCCACAGTTTGCAAAGCTCTGGCAGGTAACAGGGCAGCAAGTAATGTGACCATCCTCTGCTGCCTCCTTTACCAGACCCTCAGCAATGCCGGAAGGACTTGTCCGAAGACAGATAGATGGTGGCTGGTCCCAGGACACCCACCGAGCCTGTGATCTTTAGTGTGCTCCAGATGCCACCGATGGAGTGGGGAGTAAGGGTCTAGTGATGATCCCAGGCTCTGTGGACTGTCTTTTTATCTTATTCGGAACACTGTCTTTCCACACTTTGCTCTAAGAGGGTAAGAGTGGGCAGATATCTTATGGTGAGAGTAAGGAAGCCACAGATGAAGAAATCCCAGGACTCTGGTTGGAACTATCTCTGGGGATGTGGCTGCCTCACTCTTGAGAGGATCACACAGTGGGACTAAGATGTGTTTTGTGGGGGAAGTGACTACATGTGGCCAAGTATTTGTACAGAGATTGTTTTCTGACTGTGAGACATTTGCATGTGTATGGGATCGGCTATGTGAGGGAGCTTCCCCTAGTAAGAGAAAAGGGGGACTTTATATTTCCTGTGATCCCTTTGGTTGCAAACAAGAAGCCAACAGGCACGGAAAACGGCAACTGGGACAGCTCCTCGCATGAAGGGTTTGTGATGCTGTGAACCTTGATTGGAATCAAGAACTTGATACAGCCGAGACATCTCTTACCTCTGGGTATTTCCTTGCATGGCACTTCTCTCAATAGACTGAAGCATTCTCCAGCAATGGCTTCCAGTGTGGGATGCTTTTCAAGCTTAGAGGAAGAGAGTTTCTCTCACCCAGAGGAAGATCCCAGCGAGGCTGCTGCAGTTTTTGCGAAGCGGTCTAAGGACGGATTGGTCCTTTCTTATCCTTGGGCAAATGCAATAAGAACTTAGCACTTCTGTAAATATGTTTGAAGATGTTCTCTACAGGGGGATGCCAGAGAAACAGGACCCATTTCTCTGCAATAGCATGGACAGTGACAGAGCAGTCAGAGGACAGCCTGATTGAAGCATGGTCAGCAATAACAATGACTCAAACATGCTCTATCCTGCTCTGTCTCAAAGCATGTTGATTTGTGTTTTGTTTTGTTTTGTTTTTGTTTTTCATGATAAAAGTAGTATATTCATAGACTGGCAAGAAGACCAAGCCAGTAAAGGTGCTGATTACTAAGCCTGACAATGTGAGTTCAATCCCAGGGTCCCACACGATGGACTGAGAGAACAGACTCTGGTAGGCTGTCCTCCCAACTCCACAAGGGTACCCTGGGGTAGAACCCAAGCACATGCATATACACACAATAAATAAATGTAATAAAAATGTATTCTTTGATTTGTAATGCATCTATGGATATTGTTCAAAGTATAGTCAGAAGGTATATATGAAGGTTTATTCTGACATTTATATCAACAAAAATGTATACACAGCAAATATTCAACAATGAAATGTATGTTGTACATAGTTTTCTTTCTTTCTTTCTTTCTCTCCCTCTCTTTTTTCCTTTCTTTTATGAGACAGAGTGTCTCTGTAGTCCTGGCTGTCCTGGAATTTAAACCAGGTTGGCCTTGAACTCACAGAGATCAAGCAATCTCTGTCTCCTAAGTGGCCGGGATTAGTGCATGATTTCCATACCCATTTGTATATATATATGTATTATAATGCATGTACAAGAAAATAAAAGTAGACTATTAGTCTTATTTTTGTGTTTGTTTTCTTGGACTATAAGCAATCTTTTAAATAATAGTTTTCATTTATGCTTTGAAAATTTCATACATGTGTACAGTGTATTTTGATCATACCTACTCTGTCTTCCAAATCCCCCTGACCTCCCCCACTTCATGCACACACAATACATCTCTCTCCCGACTAAATATCCTTATTTAGTTTTAACGCCAGTGAGTCCAATTAGTGTTGCCCGTGTGCTCCTGGGTGTGGGGCCATTTACTGGGGCACAGACAGTCTTCTAGTGGCCATACTTCTAAAGAACAGTGACTCTACCTCCTCCAGTAGCCACCAACTGCCAGTAGCTCCCATGCCTAATAATTGAACTGGTTTTCCCTTCTGCGGGT